AACGTCCTCGGCGTCCATGTTGGTTGACTGGAGTTACATTGTATTGCCGCTGAATGGTAAATCGCGGACTCGGTTGTTCCTGACCGCTGCGAGCGGCTGCGATCATATGTGAACATGCGATTCGCGATCTTCGGTTGAGTGGTTTCAGCGATCGTGCGATCACCTGCGATCGTCTGCGATTGTATGTGAACCAGGCTTTATAAGTGTACAACATCCTCTACCAGAAACACATGAAATACATTGGTATTTTTCGCTGACACATCATTGATTCCCTCGGCATCAACGACACAATAACTAGATTTGGTCTCGGTGTTTTTGAGTTCAAGCTGTACCGGCTGTTAAAATTAATTACTGCTAAGGAAAACCCTTTAAAGTCTAAAACATCATTAATACCTGAAATTGAAGCCATGACAATTGTTCTGAAACAGGGACTTATTGCTGCAACATCATTTGACGGATTAGTTAGTTAGTAAGATAATACTCTTCGTGCGTCTTTGCACATAAGGCCTCGGCCATTTGTTTCTGTTGGTTTCCCGTTTGTCAATCTGCCCCCATGTCCGGCCCTTGTCCCTCATTGCCCTTTCTACGGTTATCCTCCAAGTTTCCTCGAGGCGGCCTCTCTTTCGTTGGCCGTCAGGAGCCTATCGTAATGCGAATCTAAGTAGGGCTGATGCCGAGTAGCATTCGGAGGACATAGCCGACTCATTTCCATCTTCTTCTCTAAGCTTGAGTGATGATGAGTTCTTTACCGTTCTTCTGTGCAGCTTGTCGCTGGAGATGGTGTTAGGTGAAAAGGTATCCCTTATGGAGACCCCCTTACAAGAATCCTCAAATAAAACTTTAAGTCTTCTCGTATGCATGCAACTCAACAAACAGGGACCTAGAGCACTAGTAAGGAAAGTTATAAGAATAACTTTTCCAAGAACTTTGAATCATTCTTTTCCTCTGAAAACTGACCGGGAGCTTTTATCGACAAGTAAGGAAGAAAGCCGGTATGCTAAGCCTGAGTGAGAGGAATCTTTCAAGAAGTTTAACAAAAGATTCAGCCATAATTGTATTCCCCTGACAAAAAAAAAAGTATTTTCCAACAATTTTTCAACCGGTTCCACCAAAGATAACATTGTTTGAAATATTTCTTTCTCTCTCTCTTTCTCTTTCTCTCATCCTCTAAAGCCATAACCTAATTTTTG